TAATACACACTTTGGTACACAATATAACCCTGTATATTATTTAAAAATTATCATAAATTCAAGTACGGCTTGGCGGAAACACTTAAACGTGTACACAGTAAATATACTGTGTACACATTGTTCGTACAAGAACAATGCTTTTGACACGCGTGCTCATGAATAAAGGAGGAATAATATAATATTACCAAAACGTACAGTTTATTAGATAACAATAGAAACATTATTAAACATGAATAGCCCCGAGGGCTTATTTTTTTGTTAAAGTATTTGCGTTATAAAATGTTTACAATAATAACCGTATAATTCATATTTTAATGCTTAAGTTCATTTTAAGGAACATTTTCACTCTGAATTATTTTATACATTTTTTTTTTTGCAATCCCGAGTGAGTTTTCTCGGTAGAGTCCAGTTGTCTTCGAGCAAACACAAATAATTTAATAAAAAGATTGACAGTCAATTGAAGAAAAAAGATTGTCCACGTGACAACTGCACTAAATCAAATTACACAGTCGATGTGTTTTAGTTTTAACTTGATGTATTTTGCCGAGAAAATCTGTGACGTTTTAAAAAAATAATAAATGAAGGGGCCAGTGGAGGATAAAGGTGCTAAATGACATATATTGAAAGTTCCATAGATTTTGTGTAAAGTAGCATTCCTGAACAATTTCAAAAATGACAGTTAACACCTTTGTCCTTCAAATATCCGTTTACCAGTTCGAGTTTAAAATGGTAAACAAAGTAAGTTACTACAAATTACAATCGCATATAATATTAAAATTGTTGATTACTAAATCGTCAAATTCTATAAAATATATAATAAGTTCATAGTTTGTTATTTCACTGAAGAGCGACGTTTTGGCTATTTTCGTTTTAAATTCATAATTTCTACTTAACACCTCCGCCCATTTATGCTGGTTTCAATGTAGTTTTATGGACAATTTTAATTTACCTATGAATGACAGCCGTTGCTTCTATCCGTCGCAACTAACTAGTCGGTAGTAAAAAAAAAATATTCTTATGTTATCAGTAAAGTTTTTAACAACTATTTTATAGTAACTTTTGGGCCAGCAATTTAGTTGCTTATAAATATTATTTACGATGTGTACTTCTAGAACATTAAAATTTCATCCAAAAAGTAAAAATTAAAATGTTTTTCACTATGTAAAAAGCATTTTCTAAAAACATTGTAAATCGTTTAAAGTTTTTGCCGTTTAAGTGTTCAATAATCTAATCATCATTTTTATCATCATCATTATCTTCTTCAGCTTCTCTACTCGTTTCCATAGCTCATCTAAAATACTTTAATTTCTCTACTCGTTTCACAAGTGTTGTTTAACAAATTATCATTATTATCGCGGTTTTCATGATTTTACACAAAGTTATACATTCCTTTTTTTATTTTAATTAGATTGTAATATTGTTTAACTATTGTATGAATCTCTTGAAAACTATTTTATGTAATACACTCGCAGGTCTCTTATGAGAAATAGCTAATCAAAATCACCGACTTGTAAGTATTTTGTCTGCTGTGGAAAAAGTAAAGTCAATGTTTACCACCCACTCGGAACGAAATCGAATAAATATTCCGTAATAGGGGTTAAAGAAAATGTGAATATTAATGGGGGAAAAAAAATACTTCAGTGAACAAGGAGAGTTAAAAAAAACTAAAATAGAGAATAAAAAAAACAATAATAATTCAACGTCACAGTTCAAACAAACCGACCCGGCATTTGTTCTTGTTGTTATTTTGTATGCAAACGCGGTTTGAGAGAAATATTTTACTTATCGAAACGTACTTACAATTTGTTTTATTTTAAAAACGAATATGTTTTCCCAGAATTATTCGTAACCCCATTTGTCCTTAGCACAAAAAAAAACCGTACACAATTGGATCAGCTAAAAACACCACCAAAACATTTTTACTACTTTTACTGTTTATTTTTTTTTCCGTTTCAATAAAACGATTTTTCAAGGGTTGATAAAAAAATGTATTACAAATTGACTGTTATTTGAGTGTGTATTATTTTCATCGGTAAAAGTCTGTGCATTGCTGTGGAAAAAAAAAATAACAGCCGCTTTTTTATAAATGATTAGATTTTAAAGTGATCAACAAAGCGAACGACTTTCTGGATAAGAAATCCATTTACTATCGAACAAACGTCAAACGCCAATAATACAAACCTGTTCTAAAATATTACATTAGCACGGTGATCCGTTAAAGGTCACAATTTTTTTGAAACAATTGCAATTTTGTAATTTTTTTTTTCTTATCTTACAACATACTCATATTATTATTATTATTTTAAATCTTACAAAAACTTAAACAATTTTACTACAATAAACGTTTTCTACATTGATAATACCAACCAAATAATATACTTTTAAGACCACCACACCAATTGTTTTTTTTTTTTAACACATATAGAACTTTTTATTTCTAATAAAATAGTCATTGGCTTAGATGGAACCTTTTTGTTCTAAAAGTAAATAGATTATTTAAAGTTCTATTGAATGCCATTTTGAAGTTATACAGAGCTTTTTTCCACTGAATATCTTCTTTAATTTTTAACGTATTCAGCTCTTTACTAACTAGAAAATTCACTTGACTTGTTAAATAAATAATTATCTGTCAAACATGTTCACTGATCTATTTGAAACTAACTTTAAAAGTTGTTAATTATTAAAATGCAGAACGGTAGACGTAGTGATGCTGTATATAGTCCACTTAAATCATTATTGGAACAATGAACAGAATATGTAATATAAGACTGCCCAACTGTTTTTAAAATTTTTTTTAATGACTTGATTTTATTTCTACCATATTTTCAAATCGGTAGATATAAAAAAACAAATCAATGAAAAGAAAAAATTGAATTATTCGGACACCTGTAAATCTAAAACTTTGGACATATTTTATCGTGCACACTAAAATATAAGTGTTTGTCCAATCGTTGCTGTCTAAGTGCTTTTTTTTTAGTATTTCGTATCATTTATTACGTCTTGTCGAATTTGATGAATACAGTAAACAGTACTATCTTCACAACATTTTTTGGATAGGAGAGGGGAAGGTGAGAGACAGGGGAAGGCTATGGGAAGGGCCACGAGAGGAGATGGGTTAGTGTATATTGTATAGAGGGACAAAGGCGCCATGAGACAAGATCCAATGGTAGTATTGCTTCGATGTAGAGATAGTATTTTATTTTTCTCAATTAATATTTCTTATTTGAATGCCAATGAATAATCATCACTTCAAAAACCTTCGACGAGCTGTCACCATTACGCTCTCAATTACAGCCATACCGAACGCTTTAGGACAACCAATATTTTAATCAAAAAAACTTATTAAACATAATCTTAGTGCTAAGTACTTGAAATACAAAATAAGTTTAAAAAAAAATAATATTTAACTGTCTTTTTGTATTTACGGCTAGGTTAGGTTAGGTTAGGCCTGTTGATGTTATCATCGGTTATGAATTTAGAATTAGGTTAGATCAATTTAAGGTAATTCTCAAGATTAGGAATTAGTACACAAAATGATCATTTCAAAAGTTTCGAATGGATTAAACTGAAAATATGAAGTCAGCTGTTTTCCCAATTGGTATTTCAAAAATATGTATTAGAAAGTATTATCAGAGATTTTAAAACGGCGCGCTTGAAAGATAATTTTGATTGTTGTGGAAATACCAATCGTTCCGAGGCGGGGAAAAAAAATTAATAATATTTCCGTTCTTAACTGGGTCAAGATAAAGAAATGACAAAGCACACAACACCATTAACCGTCATCAACGTAAGCAATGTAATCTTTTTTATACATTCCACCTAAAATAGAATAAAAAGGAATCAACAGCTAAATGTCGATTCTATAACCTTCAATTTGGTTTTTATAACATTAAAACAAAATACACTAAGGTTTTAACGCTAAGTTTTATGGTAGTGTTTCATTTTTACTTTAAGTTGAAAAATCAGTGTGTTCAACACTTTTCAACCGCAATTTATTACCTACCCACGTTAATATTACTATAAAAAACTTTATGTGTTTGAGCAATATTCACAATATTAGCGACCGAGTGACAGGTAACTTGTGAATATCAACATTTTAATAACTTTGCTACCATTTGTTAGCCATTGTAACGATTGTGTTGTTTTAATTTATCAAAATATACACTATATTATTACTAACTTATAACAAGTTTTTAAATAGTTCTTTTAAAATTAAAATAGTTTAAATATCTTATTTTCCAGTTAGCCAATTTCTATTTATGTACTAGATAATATTTGCAACTGATAGTAGTTGTTAAAAATTCCAATATTGCCTGCCTTGACATCTTATATTCGGTGTGCTATCTTTTGTTTTAAGTTTAACTAATGTCTAAATAAAATAATCCAAAATGAATAACACAGTTTTAAAAAGAAACCTTTCGTATGTTTAAAATTTTTTTTTAAAAAGTTACTTTTATATCACTTTGGTCAGTTAGTCACTTTTTTGTTCACTTTCAGTCCTGTAAAATCGTGAAGTTATTTTCATATGTAACAAAGTTAGATGCAAACAAACTGGATGCCAGTACAAAGCGATAACTTTCAAAGTTATTACAGTTTAAGACGTAGGACTAATATAGAGGTAAAAAAAAAAAAGACATAAAATCATTCGAAATTGTGTAAAGTACGTTTTTTCATTTTTAATAAATCATTCTGAACTATTAAGTTAAGCTAAATGTAATAGTTTTCAATAAAAAAAGTTTCAAAAGTCTGTAGAGTCCTGGAATTTACCGAGAAAATATTATTGAAAGTTTAAAAAATACTAAAACAACATTAACCGAAACGCTTCAAAAAAAAAAAAACTACAAAATTCTATCTAATTACTTTCAGAGAAAAAACAAAGGCATTCCACCTTACCACCCCGTTTGTGTGTTTTTTTTTTATTTGTCCTAATTTTTGATTGACAATAATATCTCTACTTAGCTTAGGTATTTTTTTTTACATATAATATAATACTTGCATACGTTTTTTAGTGGTCGTCCATTTGTCACCGTCGCCGTCACACTCGGATCCCTCGCAACTGATGGACACGTCTTCCAGGCTGTTCAACGATGAGTCGTCGACATCTGCACGGAAAATCACACACACACATAATAATGTCGTCTGAGAAAATTGTTGTTAATAAAAAATACAAATTGGGATGATAACCAAAAACGGAGAGATCCGTGGCCAACAAAGCCTAAGACCCTTATTTTTTTTCTACCAAGCACTGCGGTTACAAAGTTTTTGGTTTTTTATTTTTACAGGGTGGTCGACAACGGGGGGAGGGGGGGGTGTTTTTTTTTTACCGTTTTTGGGTTTCTCGCCGGGGCCGGTGGCTGTGGCTGAAGCGACCGAAAGCACTAACAGAATAATATAGCGGCGCATTGTGTTGTCAGACTTATCGGATGTCACTGTGGGCCGCGGCCGCGGTTTAACCGTCGACTCCTCCGCCGGTTTATTCCCTCCACGGGTACACACACACACACTATAAATATGATAATATACATTTTATATTGTACACATACAATATATATATATATGGATATTTTTTTATGAATGTAAAACGTACGTGCACGGTCACGGGGCACACGGACGCACACACTGTTATTATTGTGTACACGGTATTTACACGGGCGGTTGTTAGCCTCGGCGATGTGACGACGATCGGAAGGAACTTGCCCGAGGCAAAACGATATTACTGGTAATATTATCATTATCATTATTATTATTATCATCATTATCGCCGTTACTTACTACTACTAGTGCTACTGTTGTGTATTCGCCGAAGAGGTCGCAAGCGATTAACGTGTGTGTGTGGAATATATTAGTAGAATGTCAAAAGAAGAGTCTCTTGCAAGACGTTTGCGTGCGTGTCCGTGAAATATCCAATCCACGTGTGACCGCATAAAAAAAAAAAAAAAAAACAAAGTTCTTAGGTGGATTTTTTCACAAAACGAAATGATGTACACATTTTTAACAAAAACTAACATAAATTGGCATATTAGACGTAGACGACCGCTTTTGATAGTCAATGAAATTGAGAAACAAAAGGTGGTGCCTCGTTGACATTATTTTACCAACGACACGATAATATGATATTGCTTAAGTTTGTCGTCGATAAGTTTTACCAGCTATTGTACTGGCTACAAACACTATTGGATTTACATCAAAACGTTCCAAACAGAAACTTTATGGTTGTTCTATTTCTCAATAATTTTAAATAATGTTTTATTGACAAAAAATCGATACATTATGACATTCTGGATTTAATGACACAAAAATTAATAAAATCGATTCGATGAAAGTATGAAATACATTTTTTTATAGTAAAACAAATGCTTAATACAGTTTGATCTAAGTCCGTGGTTTGCGAGTACTACATAAAACTTAATACGGAGATGAAAAAGGGGGCTACGGACGATTTCCAGAAGGGTATTTTCTTTAAATTAATAAATAATGCTGTTTTTGGTATTTAGCTAAAACATATTAACATTAAGATAAATTAATCCATTTTTTTTTTGTTTACATTACAGATTCTTTAATATACAGGGTGATCGTGGTTACTGTGAACCACTCAAAATAATTTTGTCAGCGGTTTCATAATTCATAAAAACTCATAAATGATAAACAATATATTCAAAACCTATGAATGATTTTTCATTGAATTTCATTTGGTGGGTTACTGGATATAAATGTAGTTGGGCGATTAAATTTACTATAATCATTTACGAAAGTACCGTCACGTCGTATTTAATCTATAACATTCGATGGGGTGACAGGGGTGCACAATTTGACTTAAAAAACTACAGAAAAAAAAGTTTTTCAGCCGAGTCTGCTACCACGAAAGAGCATTTTCATGTCTCGTTGAAGAACCGAATAAATTTAGAGTAGTGGTGGAATTATAGATAATGATATAGTATATTAACAAGCGGTAACAAGCTGGAATATTAAAACGTCAAGTTTCTGGCTATAATTGTAGTGTTTATTGCTGGCTTAAAACAATTCATAGAGAAATTGGGCTCTTAAACTGTTTTGAATGTATTATTTAGTTCTAATTTGAACGTTAAACGTACAACGTATCTCTAATCTCTTATCTCCTATATCTTACCTCTATCCCCTACCCACTATCTCCTACCCCTATCTCCCACCCCTATCGCCAACCCCTATCTCCTACCCCCTATCTTATTATTTTGTTTTGCATGCTTATCTATTCGACAATAACCTGTGTTTGTGCATCTTTTTAATGTTTTGAAATTTGTAAATTTAAAGCGAGTTAAAAATATATTTAAAGAAAAGATGGAAAATATACTAGCCAAAATAGTACAAATGGAAGACGAAAGGGAGGATGTAAGACTATCCGGAAATAACAAAAAAAAGGAACAGGACTAAAAAATTAAGAAACTTAAAAAAACGAAATAATAGTAGCTGGTAGTTTTATATTTTTCTACAGTATTATAGATAGTTTCTTAATTACAACGGATTCTCATTACACATTACTTCACAATTCCTGAAGAAGCCAAGAGTCTTATAAGGATATATTTTTTCAACCAAATGAGGAAATTCAAGTAGAAATAAATAGTGATGGCATGAGGAGGAGGAATTTATCCTAAATTTTTTTTTTTTCATGAAAGTATATTATATTTTTGTATAAAAAAGTTATGTTATAATAATTTATAGAAATAATACATTTTGAAAAAAAAAATAGACCGTTCTTTTGCAAAAGGTGTTATTTCATTTCCGATTACATTTTTATCAAAATGTTGTATTTCCGTATATGTATCGTTATGTAACGTTATGTAACGAAATGTAACAACTAAAAAATTAGCAACGTAAATTCCTTGAACTATGAAATCACACATTTCACGTGACAAAATGGCAAAGTAAGCTGACAGAAGAACTGGATCTGTGTATTCTTATTTTTTGGATATTAGTAGCATTCATCGCTGCAATATTATCCACCCAGGCCTTTAATGTATATTTCAATTGTTGCCCATTCTAAGTACGTAATAGCAAATATATATGTAAAAATAATATTTCCTTCTATCCCGGATGTCAGACACCGGTGAACCTATATACACACATTATTTATATAAATATCTTTATATATATATTTTAGTCGACCGTTAATGTTGAAATAGCAAGGCTAAACATAGAAGTTACAAAATGCTAGCAAGTAGCTGGTAGTTTTTTTATTTTTCTACAGTGATATCATACATAGTTACCATCGCGGACCGCCAATACCCTGGACATGGCGCCCTATATTTTTGCTACAGTCGACCATCCGATGTCTCTTCCGATGACATCTTTTGTGTGCGTCCGTTTCTACTCCGCTTTGACCAACTTTTTCATCGTCCAACCAAGGTCAGAGAGATTATTAAAGAAATATGGATGATGGTGAATGGTTATAACAGGAGATCTTTAAGAGGGGATATCAGCGTGTGTGTTTAGCGTTTATTAAAATAATAATAATAACATTATAGCTTATAGCTTACAAATGATAACTAAATTACTGATATAATTTTATATATTACAATATATAGAATATGATACTCAAAATTGACCTATATTATATTATATTAAATACTAGTATAAATACTGGTTGTTAATCTGAATATGCGTTTCTATGCGTTTTATCGCGGTGTTTATAATATTCTGTATAATATTGTATTTATAATCCTTGTACGAACGATCTCGTTTTTGTATGAATCAAATGTACTCGTACAATCTCGGTAAAATGATTACAATTCACTCAATTTTTTCGATAATTGTTTTATCCATGTTTGGAGCAGTAAATTGTATAACTTTGTATTTTATTTAGCGACCTTAGTTTAGAGTAAAACATTTTGTAGCTTGCAGCTGAGAGTTAAGACATTGTGACCATCTCCACCCCACTATGCTCCGTCGCAATTATTTGCCCCGACCTCACTATACTGTTTTTTATAATACTTGAACGCATCTATAAATTAGGCATCAGACTACTTTTTTTTTCCAGTGATTTATATGTTATTTTTACACTTTCTATTGAGCGCGTATCGTGATGACATGATTAAATTTTATCATTCAAATGATTCAGCCCGCTCTTTATACGGTAATTGTTGGTTACACCGTATTATAATTATATATTTTTTTTATTGTACTGTAAATAGTTAGCTTTTTTTATAATCTATATTGCATATCTCTATTTTTAAGAAACTACCCATAAACATGTTAAATGCCATTGTGTTGTTCATTGAAACAAAATGGCAAAGTAAGCTGACAGAATACCATGAGGACTTGAAAGTATTTATAATAGAGAACGAGGAAGAACTGGCTAGAGACAGTGACCGTTGGAGGCAAATGGTTGTCGTGGCAAAGGGCTTGTAAAACGCTAAGAAGAAGATGATTATAAACTAACTGTTCATCCAAAGCTTATAGGGTTAATTAGATGTGAAGATAATCTACCAATTAGCCTAAATAGCTTTTCCCCCCTTTTATGTATTACAGTATCGGAGAAAGAAAAGCCGTAGAAGCTAAAAAATGTCAAGAAATGGATAAATAAATTGTATCAATTCGCACACAGACACGTCTGCGTTGTAGAAGCCGAGACTAAGTAGACTAAGAACTTATAATATATAATTTTTAAGTTGATCATGCGAAGATTAAATATATTACAGCAGCTTTTTTTAAAACAGTGTTTGTATTATATCTTGAGACTAAGTTGTTAAAATGTCGCCACTTTTTATACAACTTTGGTGATAAAAATTTTCAAAATAGTGTAACAAAGATTCTTGGAAAAAAATATTAATATATTCCGAGAAAATGAGTGTGTTATCCTTAATAAATCACCCTGTATATATATATATACCATTGTCAATGGAAACGCATAAGTCATATAGTAAAATCTATTTACCAAGATTTAGGAAATAAAAAAACCAAAGACGACTAGTGTTACATACTAATTATGTGCATTTAGCTATTATATTTATACGCATCATTCTAATATTTATAAAGCATTAGTTTTGCCTTTTTAAAATAAAACTTTTATTTTTTAAATTAAAATAATTCCTTAAACTATCGTATTTAAGGAATTGTTTTTAGCAAAATACATTATGATAGACAGAAGAAAATGTTTAGTTTTAAATAATTTTTCTTTTTTAGTTGTATTATGCGATTAGATATTTATACAATGCGGTTTTAATAATTAACATAATAGATATTTATATAATATTATTGAGATTTAAAGTGTCACTCTAAAAAATGTATTTTGTATGTATTTGTTTCAGTTTGGGGAGAAGACTATACTACCACTAACTAAGCACCGAAGTTTTCGAGGCAAAGATACGTTTGCCTGCACTTTCAAAACAAACTCCTATTAATACTTATAATGTAAATAAAATTTAAGTAACTTAATAACGATATAATACGGCCGCTTATTTTAAATTCACTCTATCAGTATGTTTTTAAACTACAAAAAAATAATAAGTAAAACAAAAATCTGACCTGACAATCGAACACAAGTTGTATCTGCACTTCTTACAGGTTAACTGCTTGCTTAACAAACACATCCCGTTTCAATTAGTTTATTTCAAGTCCAATTTATCACTTTGACCGTGTCTTTAAGCAAATATCATGTCTAAAATAGCTGAGAAAAA